TTCTGGGGGTTCCAGTGCCAGTTCATACTGGTGAGTATTGAGTCCTCTCTGTGGGTCTGGTCAAGCAGGGGTAACGAGTTTCGATTAGCTCGGACGCTGCCTTGGGAGTGCAGTGGGTCTTCACATACTGCAATGATAATGGGCAAGTCGGAGGTAAGTCTCAGTCGGATCCACCAAGATAAACGAAGAGACTCACATGTCTACTAGGCTCACAAGCGGCCAACGGCAACGGATACTTGATCATGAGCGTCGACAACGTCAGCTGGGGTTAAATCGGCAAATACCAATGCGCCAAAGGAATAAAGCGGAATGTACTAGCGTATGTTGTGTCGTTGGGGACTCGCGGAGAAAAGATAACGCAAATAACTGTACTTAACACATATCCATGCAATCTATTTGGCGGACTAGTTATGACAAGCTGATTGGTCTCAACTAGTATGATGCAGTTCCTCGCTGTGATAACGCGACAACTTTCGGGCCATGGAGCTCGTGTTCAAGACTGCTTGCAGGGGATAACGCAGAGGCATGGGATCACATACGACCTACAAGTCAGTTCTACCCAACCCTTGTGGCAGGGGGGAGGATGAGGCCTTACTGCCTGCCTACGCATCCAATCCTTTTATCGCGTACATAATGTTACACACTGATCGTTTTCACTCGCAAAATCCCTCTTGTAGTAAATTTGGCGGAAGTATTAGAATTGCCGATACAAATGCCGTGTAGTGGAAGGCGGCAGACGAGTGGGGTGATTCAAGCTGTCGATGTCGTTTCCTCAGCAATGCTAATAGAGCTACTTGGTTGGCTCCGCTCAGGCGGCTTAGGAACTCTTGATCCTCTGGCGAATTCGATTGTCTCCGAACTAATGTATCAATGCAAGTACATACACTTACATGCACTCTCAGAAGCTGTATGGCCTGAGACTCCATACTATGAGCTCTGGTTTTTCAGCTGCGTTGCAAAGTCGCAAATGAGTGTTAGAAATGAGGACACTCACGCACCGTACTTGTCGACGTCTCTCGACGTCTGGCAAACCACATATACAGATACTTCTTCCGTTGTCCACGCCACTGCTAAGTTGCTAGTCAGTAGGCTGTTTGAATTTCTGCTCCGCTCCGCCCTGCTCTAGTCATTCACCAACGAATGTCTGTGCATGCATTTGTCCTCTCAAGCACCATCTTGTTTCTCAGCGCACGTCTTCCGGGTCCTCGAGTCCAGTGCACTCCCTCGACTCATCGACATCCATGGCACCCCGACAGCAATAGACAGTCGCGCCATGTTTTAATTAATTTTAACGGAGCACACTATCCGTATGCCCTTTATGGTCCACGAAAAATAATGTTCTGCGTTTCCCACTCCGAGCGGTTGCTTCACTTCTTGGAGGCACTCATAAGCAGATGCGACCGATATCTGTATGTGTGGTTTTATAGGCATTGGAGGTTGGACACGCACCGACGAGCACGGTACGTGAATGCCCTCGTTTGTTCATCTTCGTCTCTTTCCTACCTCTCTGCTAAGACTTTTGCCTCTCGGCTCCTCAACTCGATTCGGTTAGTTGTGTTCTCAGGAGGCTGTATTGGGCTTCTTTTCACGAGGCTGGATGCAAAGCAGAGATGGCTGGCATCTGCATGTGTGGTTTGGCAGGTGTCGGAAGCTGTACATGCGGTTAGAGATGCGCTAGTAAGTACGGTGCCTGCATGTCCTCGTCTGCGCACTCACCATGCTGCTGAGGGACAGGAAATCAGGCTCTGCGATACGAGCTGTGCCCACAACTGGCGCAATGTTCTTGATATCAGTCACATGCTCCTCAATTACGCATACATTTGTATTTGCTTTTCATTATAGTATATTAGGTTCAATGTGATAGAGTCCGATAGGAGGCCACATAGCTTCGAGGCTGTGTGGCCAGCTGGCTCCTATAAGCTGAATAGAATAGCGGTGCTAGCAAGGTGAGCCTCCCACTCGTATTCTGTCCTGCGCTGCATGGCACCTGTACTAGTGACTCCCACACCTCCGGAAAGTTAACCACACGACGGTGTTCCGCCGGAAGCAGAAGTAGACGCAGGGGCAGGAGGGATGCTCGGGAGGGCAGACGGTGAGTGCGCGTCACGGATTACGCCGGTAATGATCCATATTGAACAGTGAGCGGTTAGGGCGCAGGGCGCAGTCTCTGTCCACGCTCACAGCTATCAGGGTCGGGGAGCAGCAATACAAGCTCTCTGCGCGATCGATTGAACTTCCAGTCAGATTATGGTGGAAGGTGATTGATTTTGTAGCAGACTACATTTCACAGAGGGTAGATGGCAGAACGCAACTGCGAGAGCTAGCGAGGGTCAGCCGGGTGTGGTACACTCAGTGCCGGGTTCGTGCCGAGGAGAGGCTGGATGTCATCTACAGAGACAAGAAAGACGTGTACCAGTTGATCAGAAGACTGAACGAGCATCCGGAACGATACAACGCCATCAAGCGGGTCCATTTCATGAACAAGAGTATCAATAACTTTGGGTCGTTTGCTGTCCACATGGCAGGGAAGCTTCCTCAACTGGAGACACTCGAACTCAACTTCGCGTGGGTATTGGGCCAGTGGGAGCCGGGGCAGCTGCATCCGCGGGTCTTCCTGCATATGAGGGTCGCGTTTGAGTCGGTGACCACGCTCTGTCTCGCCTGGGTCTCTTTCCCTTCTGTGGTCGTGTTTGGACGCCTACTCTGTGCCCTTCCGCGCCTCGCCTTACTGACATGTGGTCGTGTGGAGTTAAAGAAGCCAGGCGTTGTGTCGGGCCTATTGCCAAGCCCTCTTCGACTTGCTACCGTCGACTTATTCAACAGCTATGACGTCGTCGACTTCCTAGTTCAGACCGATGTCGGCACCTTTCTTCGCCATGTCGGCTGTTTTATTCTGATAGACACAAGAGGATCAGGATGCCGTGCAGCACCATGAAAGCTGTGGAGACCCGTGGGCCACATTAACTACGTCGTCCGCTTACACGCCGAGTAGACCACTCCATTCATCTTCAATCCGCATGCCCAACGTGATGGATGACATAAGTCGCGTCTTTGTCGTAGTCCGACCAAGAAAGGGGACTGCGTCGTCTGTATCGCCCGAACTCTAGGTATCAATGCCACTAGGTCGGAGCTCAGTATGGGCGCGCCTAAAATATGCCCAGCTAAAAGATAGATGGCATCAATACACATCTGGAGATTTTTGCTTACCTGTCGCGAGCCCACATTCCTAAACTGAGGATTGTTCAAAGGGTGTTATAACATAACGCTCCCATACTCTACAGTAAGCAGCTGATGTACGTGCAAACCCGAGCTGATTCCCAACCCAAATGGACGATTTCATCGTGGATGCTTGATAGTGGCTGAATGACGCCGCTCCTTTGGCTTTAGCATGTCAAGCTGTCAACCTCCATTGCAAACAGGCGCAGTATCACATCAATGTGCCGTTCAATCGGCGTGATCGAAAATCTGCACAGCCATACTTAAAAGCAAACTATGAGTGACGCCGTGAGAAAAAATGCGACGTTAGACCACTGAACGTGGACCGGCAGAAGGCGAATTTCCAGAGCTTGAACATTAATATAATGTTATGTCACCGAATATCGCGGATCAGCAGCCTCTGATTGGTCTGTTTGCCATGTTCTCTGCATGTAGAATCCAGCAAATGAAAATTGGCAGTGAATGCAGTGCTCTCACGTCCGGTTTCTGACGCATGTTTGACCGTAGAATTCCAGAAAATAACCAGGAGTAATAACGACCCGGCGCAGTCCAAAGCTCACTTGCCACATCCAGAACGACCTTTTGAGACGGAATAAAAGGGGGCCCGTCCCTCTGCAAAACTTCACCAGCCTAACACTCCAAATTCCCCCCACATCTATCCGACGAAACATGTTCAACAAGGTCTTTTTGTACGCTGGCCTATTCTGCGCACTCACCTCCGCAGTCATAGCAGTCGTCGAAGTCATCCCAGGTCCTGGATTCCCGTCCCTGGAGTCTCTCGGCCTCACATCTGAGGAGCTCTTTGCCAAGGGTCCTCCTCCTACCCTCAGTAAGGCCAAATTATTTCTCTACACAGTTATCGAATGTTCATCCAATTCACAGCTTCGCGGATCACCGGACTCCAAAAGCGCTACGATAACGTCTGCCAGACTTGGAGCACGGCCAGCGTCGACAATGTCATCGCGTGTTTCAACTATCTCGAGGCCCTCGGCACCCAGGCATGCGGTGTCACCCAGAACGTCATCATGTGCACTGCAGGAGATGCGGAGATCAGTGGCTCTAATATTTCTGGCGGCCCCAGTGCCAGTTCATACTGGTAAATATTCGAATCCTCTTTGGGCTTGATCAAGTAGGGCTGACGGGCTTCTAACAGCTCGGATGCCGCTTTGGGGGTGCAGTGGATCTTCACGTACTGCAACAACGGTGGCCAGGTAGGAGGTAAGTCCAAGTTTGGCAAGCTACCCAATTGGGTGGAAAGGCTGACGTCTTCATTAGGCTCAGCGGCTGCCAATGGAAACGGAAACTTGATCATGAGCGTCGACAACATCAGCTGGGGCTAAATCAGCAGCTGCCGGGGCGTCGAGATGTAGAAGTGGAATGAATCAGCCAATGCACCACTCAATCGTTAAATATCCCGGTAGGCACAAGCTAGCATGAGGATAGTAAGAAAGGTTGGAAGCGGTGACTATATAAAACTGCAAAGGAATGTGCATAAAGAGGAGGGGCTTACGACTCATAACATGTATTCGTGACACTGTTGTGAGAACACATTTTCAATGCATCTGGTACCGATTTGTTATGGGTTTTCTCTCAAAGGCTTAGTAGTGCGCGTCGAGTATGAAACGCTGGAAACAATAAAGAACCCGGATAGGGACTGAGCGCGTACATGGCGACGGACGAAGGAAGCACCACTGCGGTTACATACACACCTTCTCGTCCAGCTGAGCTTATCGTTCCTATAACGCTCATTCAGCATAAGTCGGCATAGGTAAATTTAGCGAGCGCACGCAGACTAGGTCGGGAGTAATGTGGTAGCGCGGGCATAGTCCGGCAGACGACTCGTCGGGTAGCTCTGAAGACTGACCATAAATTGTACGGCGCGAGAACCGTGAAGAGCGTTTCTCTGTGTGTAGTTTGCGTACGAAAAGTTCAGAGATGAAGGCCGGAGTCTACTTCGCATGGGTCAGGCCCGGCATTTCACTTGTCTCCGTGAAGGAACAGCCGGTGGACGGCCGCATGCACAGTAAGCCAACCTTATTTTTCTTACTTTGATGACCGCATTCGTAATGAAATCAAAGGCAGGAAGTAGGTCGAGTGTACCGGATGTAACACGGCTGCCAGCTGGAGTACTTGTCTCAATACTTGTCTGTTGTGATCAGACAGCACCAGGACACGGTCACGGGCAGAATAGGAGATTTCCCAGCCGGACCGTGGAAGCGTTGGTACTGCAGGTGGCATAAGAACCTTAACATATTTTCAGTGGAAATACGGGTGTTACAATACTTGAGGATATTCACAAAGAATTTGAATTGATAATGCTCCGAAAATAGTTAGAAAATACTTGAAGTATATCCTCCAAAACTGCCAAAAAATATTTCTCAAGGAAAATCAATGTTGATCATATCCTCAAGTATTTTCACCAACTCGGATCCCAGGTGGAAATCATACTCCGTTATGCTTGCAATGACTGAGTCACGCGTCCAAACGCTCATCGTTGCTTCATCTTTCAAATCATATTCCTTCACTTCGTGTTTCAAACACTCAACGCAGGATACGACTCTACTTGTTATTTCTCTCGCGCCACTCGTTCAGCTTCGCTCTGGGTCCAGCGGCGTGATGTTCAACTCAGGAGTCTGCACAACAGAAGAAATACACGACATATATACGCGACGATTGTGACGCCCTCATGATCATTCAAAATCACCGCAAAGAGCGCTAGCTGCGTGCAATATGTGGGTGCACCACTCGTACCTCCAGGTCCGTCCTTGTATCATCTCATACTGATGCTTATGTCAAGCTTCAAGCTTCAAGCCTGAATGAAAAAGCTAGCCGGCGCACGTATGGACATACCTAACCCTGGACGCGGGAGAGTGGACTCAACAACCCTTCTGTTCGATGAGCTGGCGGCGATGCAATAATGTTCGCAGGGAAACAATGATCTTTCGGTAGCGGCGTGTATGCTTTAGACGAAGACCTCCATTTCATTTCGAGACCCGCCGACTGTCAATTCTTGTCGCTCCGGCTCTTCCTCCTTAGGATTCAAGTGGATTGTATTGCTGCAGGGATATGGCTATGCTGGGTCACTCACGAACAGAGACGACCGGATAGATGTCAGAAGCCATGCACGCGGTCCGAGACGCGCCCACAAGGACAATATGTGGTGCGTGTACGTCCTCGTTCCGCCCTGCTGAGGAGCTAGAGCTGATGTTCTGGGATACATACTGTGCTTATGTTTTTGAAGCGATGGCATTGGCACAGATGTCGATGATCCCTCGTTCTGCGCCGGCGCTTATATTCTTAGTAGGTCATGTTCGCTACGATAGAGTTTGATAGAAGATCACAGCATTTCCAGCGCATGGCGTGGGTTACTGGGTCAGCTGAGCGATCCTTATCTTATAAGCTGGTAAGGGTAGTGATATCGGCCGGTCGAACACCACGCTCATCTACCGCCATCCGCTATATGGCATCTCTGCAGATGACCATATTGCTGCCACGTGCAGCGCACAACAGAGTCCCGCTTGATTCAGAAGTTGAGGCAGAGGCAGGAGGGATCGCTACGAGGCGAGATGGTAGGTGCCTGCTAAGGTTACTACAGACATAATGATCGAACTGAGTGAATGGATAGATGGTGGCATACAGGGCCCGCACGCGCCTGCAACAAATAGGGTCGAGAGGCAGCAACGCGTCCTTTGCTCTCGACGATCGATCGAGCTTCCAGTCGAATTATGGTGGAAAGTGATCGATTTTATAGCGGACGGGATCCCAAGGTGGGAGAATGGCAGAATTCGCATGCGAGAGCTGGCGAGGGTGAGTCGAGTGTGGTACACTCGGTGTCGCTTCCGCGCCGAGGAGAGGCTGGATATCATCGAGAGAAACAAGAAGGAGGTGTATTGGCTGATCGGGAGACTGAACGAATATCCGGAGCGATACGATGCGATCAAGAAGGTGCATTTCGAGAACGACAAAATCAATACGTTTGGGTCGTTTGTTATCTGCATGGCAGGGAGGTTGACCCAGGTGGAGACGCTCGAGCTCTCTAGTCATAGTTCGGGATCGTGCGATTGGGATCCCGGGCAGCTTCACACGCAGGTCTTCTTGCATGTGAGGATCGCGTTTGAGTCTGTGACCACCCTCGGTCTCATCTGGGTCTCTTTTCCTTCTGCGGTGGTATTTGGGCGACTGCTCTATTCCCTTCCGTGCCTCGCCTCGCTAACATGCAACTACGTGACATTCAAGAAGCGAGGTATTTTGCTGGGCACAGTCTCAAGCCCCCTTCGACTTGCCACTGTGGATTTAGTTAACAGCCGTGACGTCGTCGACTTTCTTGTTATAACTAGGGCTGGTGCCTCCCTCCGCCATATTGCTGCCTGTCACGATCAAGATCGGGAAGCGTGCTCGCGGTTGATCCGTGTCGCTGCCTTTTCGCTCTCTTCCCTCCTCTTCAGTGTGCATAGTGGGCGCAATCCGAACAAGTCTGATGGTGCGTCTTCGAGTTGTTTCCTTGTCAATTCAACATCATGCCCATGAACGCTTTCTTTGTTTCAGATCTTCTTCCAGATCTCACTCCTGCTTATAACTTGCGTTCCCTGTCAATTGAACTCGGACCCGCCTTTGACTCGCAGCAGCTAGCAGCCGCCTTGCCTCGAGCATATCTTCCCAACCTACGTGAAATGGAGATCACTATACTGTGGTTCAGTGACAACCTGAAGTTTAAGTATTTTGACGACGATTCGTATGCGCATATCGATCGGGTTCTTTCAGGGCCTCGATTTCCCGCTCTTCGAAAAGTAACCTGGCACCCCCGATGCCGTATTACTCGCAGTAAGGTGGCGGATGTAACGTCTGAGGTCTCCTGGCGCGAGCACCTTTCGTCAAAGCTCCCGCTCCTCCATGCTAGTGGGCGGCTCTTGTGAGTCAATGAGAATTATCGGTCAATCGTGGAATCGAAGTTTGACACTAACTAAAATTACAGAGTCTCCCTGTCTGTCGATGTAGACAATGAGGACAAGTTTTCTTCGCGGACGTTTTAAGGACGTCGACACGATATCCCTCAATCGCAGCCTGAAAGTCTATGGTACATTGTATGAGTCTATCCTACTTACTGAATCTGAGTTGTACATGCACAGACAACAGATTCAAAAAAAATGACGCGCACGGTCCGTTATACCTGCGGTGCCAAATACAATAAATTGCTCGTAGTGCAAGACGTTCCGTTGCCTGAGAAATTTCAAGCATAGAATACCCGATCCCTCTGATGACTGAAGCCCGCCGTATGAGATGATCCGGGAGCAGCAAGCAACTTCGTGTTCGATTTGTGTCCAATACACACCTACACCAATAACCTGCAACTGAATTGTATGATCAAGGGCGAAGTACAGTTTTCTGCGTTTTTATCCGTTCACGAGTCCCCGATAAAACCATATACACTAATACATTTCATTCATGCCCTTCTTGTGCTTAGGAGAAGGCTAATTAAATTTTGTTCTAGCCCCAGCTGACGTTGTCAACGCTCATGATCAAGAACCCATTACCATTAGCAGCCTGTGAGCCTAGTGGAAATGTTAGCCTCTCTATATTGCTTAGTGGGTTCCTGAGCTTGAACTTACCTCCGACCTGACCATCATCATTGCAGTATGTGAAGACCCACTGCACTCCCAGGGCAGCGTCAGAGCTAATAGAAACTCGTCAGCCCTGCTTGACTAAACTCCCAGAGAGAGGACTCAATACTCACCAGTATGAACTGGCACTGGAACCCCCAGAA